AGCCGGACGTGGTGCATTGCCAAGAGCATTCTGATTGCCAGTCTTCGGAATTTTGCTATGATGGTACGTGCGACAGCTGCAGCCAGTGTCAGTTCTGCTCCGATGCTGCTTACGTCGACGAATGTGGGCACTGCGGGCCAGGGTTCCCATCGCATGAGACGACTCCCTGTCACTCCCATGAATACGTGGTCAACAAGGGGTCGCTTACGGTGACGCATGCATGGAAAAATCTATCTTCAGACGAGCAGCTGCTCTTTCTCGAAAAGAAGTTCGGCGAGCTCGACAAAGATCAGTCTTTGACCCTGGACGTGGACGAGCTAGTGGGCGCCTTAATCGGACAGGACCTCGTCGCGATCGAAGCCGCCAACGGCACGCTCAACACCCCCTTTGACCAAGTTTTACTTCCCAGGGCTTCGGTGGAAGAGTTTGTGGAGAAGCACAGCGCCCACGGCAGTGCGTTCTTGACCCTCGACGAGTGGCTCGCCACAACTCCTCAGCTGGCACAGCGTGCTGCCCCCCAGAAGGCGCTGCGTGGGCCTTCGTGCACCTTCGAGAGTATCTTCTCACTTCCCAGCACCTGCTCGGAAACACAATGGGTAGACAATTGCGGGAATTCTTGCAATAACGCTTGTACCAGTTGCCCGAGATTGGCGCATGCGAACTCGAGCGCTGTTGCGCGAGTTTCGCGAGATTCGGGCTCCGTTGTGCGAACGACTCAAGAGCTTGAGTTCTGGGGCGGGAGGCGTCGGCGTCGTTGGTGGGATGTCGTCGTGGATGTGGTAGACACGGTCGTCGATGTGGTCGTGTGCACTGTGAGTTGCGTCACCAACTGCGTGTGGTCGTGTTTCACCGAAGCAGTGGAGTACGTGTACACGTGCGTGGTCGACACTGTCGTGAATGTACTCATGAGCTTTGGAGAATGTCTGTCAGCTGTGGTGAACGCCGTCAACGACGCGGTTGGTGACATGTGCGGCTTTGATCTCATCCCCACAGGTTGTTCCGGCGTCTGGGATTGCATTTCGGAGGGGGTGAGCAACGCTCTCTCATTTTTCGAGTGTGGATTCTCGATACTCTTGGATATACTCGAGAACATGGTCATGGCAAATCTTCGCTGTCTGCCGAACATCGCCGACGGCATCAGGGCTGCCCTATTCCCTCCCGAAGCGATAATTGCTACTACAGTGTTCGAGGCTTTGTGGAATTTCGGCGAGAGGGTCGTGAACGGGATCTACTCAGAAGCTGCGGCTGTGAGCATCGACTTCTGCTGGAATTCAGCTCCCACCGCCGAATTCACTGACTGTGGTGCCTTCGATTTCGTCAGCAGTATGACTATTTGGGACGTGCTTGACGTTTTCGGGATGGCCCAACGATTCGCGGATACCGTGGCGAAGTTCACCAATTGCCTCACGAAGACTACAAGCCTCCCTGGGCTTAGTTTCGGCATCCCCACTCCCTTCCTGAAAGTTGATTGGACAGGAGGCTCGTGGTGTGCGCCAAGCTTTGTCCAGACTGCGGCCAAAGGAGTTATTGGCGTGTTCAGGTACATAGCTTCAGGACGGATGCTCGATGACCTCATTATTGTAGGTGACAATCTCCTTACCAATCTTCAGACGAGGCTGGAAGCAGTGTTCTGTGACGAAGGCGACTTTACCATCACATTGGGAGTCGACCTCCAGTTCGGATATGCAGTTCTTGGAATCAAGGCTCAGGCTGGATGCCTCAATGGAAGATTCGCGGCCAAGATTGTCGGCTTTGCTACGGGCAGAATTTCCATCTTCGGTGCGCCGTACAAGTGGGAACCAAGTGCCTCTGCGTTCTTCAGTATCGGTTGTACGGCGGGGCCATCCAGCACGGAGTGGTCGTACTGGGAGTCGTCTCTGAACGGCATCTTGGCGTTCGATATTTTCACTGGAACGGTTTCTTTGCCCCTCTATCCAGAGCCGAAGCTCGAGTTTGGCTATTCGTTCTCGCTCAAACTCTGGCCCCAACCAGCCCCTCCCCCTCGCCTGTCGGAGGGGGAGTTCAACAAGACATCGCTGCTGCCGGCGCTGCGCCTCCTCTCTGGGGCTACGTCCGACCCCAGTTTCGGCGAAAACGTCAAGAGCAAGTTTCCAGACCCCAAGCCGATCCTCGAGGGAGCCCGCAACGGCTCGCTCGAGAGGTCCAGCATGAACAGGAGTGCCGGTGACCTCGCCGGCAGGATCGCCATCTCTGTCACGAAGAATTTTTGCTTCACCTGTGACGATTTCGGATCGGAGCCTGCCTGGGTCACGGGCCTCTCCAACATGGCTCAGAAGTTCTCCTGCGCTGTGGGCCAGGCGATGGCGGGAGCCTCCTGGGGTGCACTGAGCCTCACCCAGTGCTTCGCCCGGGTGACGCAGTGGGAGGCGGCCGGGAATTACTGCGAGTACTTGTACTCCGACTCGCCGAACGATGGGTCCGGCAGCCTGGGGACCACGTGCGCCTGTATGCCGCCGAATGCGATGACTTCCGGGGCTTGCTACGCAGCGGTTGGAACCAGGGCCAGCGAGGGGTCTACTCAGTTCGTGACCTACAGGCATCAGAGGCTGACTTGCGAGACTGGGAGCGGAGCGGCATGCAAGACTTGTGTCACGCCGCAGGACCGAGTGGTGAGAGATCAGTGTGAGACCTGCAACGACGGCCATATACTGCTCGGCTACGTGTGCTCGGCCTACACGCCGTCGCCGACGCCAAATCCGACGCCGTATCCGACGCCAAGCCCGACCCCATATCCAACGCCATATCCGACGCCAAGTCCGACGCCGTATCCAACGCCATATCCGACGCCATATCCGACGCCATATCCTACGCCAAGCCCGACGCCAGAACCGACGCCAAGCCCAACGCCACTGCCACCTGGCGCGACGCATGTTCCGACGCCAAGCCCGACGCCAGAGCCGACGCTGTATCCGACGCCAAGCCCGACGCCAGACCCAACGCGGTATCCGACGTCAAGCCCGACACCAGACCCGACTCGGAATCCGACGCCAAGCCCGACGCCAGAACCGGCGGCGACGATGGCGACCTGCGTGGACGTTCCTGGGTGGGCGAGCAAGGATGGTACACCTTGCTCCTGGTATAACACGGCCAATGTTTGCACCACGTCTGGAGGCTATGCATCGGGATGGAGTTCTGGATGGGGCACATTTGCAGATTGGGCGAACGATGGATATGACGGTTCGACAGCATGCTGCGGTTGTGGTGGGGGCACGTCACCGACTCGTTGTCAGTATATCGAGATCCCCTCAAATACATTCGGGTATGTTCAGTTGCCGTACAGTAACAACATTCGAGCTTTGTCAATGTGGCTTGCGCCGTACAAGGATGGAGGCTATCACTGGGAGTACATATTTGACGCACGTACTGGATTGGGCTCTGGACATTTCTCGTTTCTGGATTGGTCATCTGGATCTGGCAGCGCGCGTATTGACAAGGGCAGCAGTTGGAGAGACACGATATATATCAACGGAGTTGCCGCTACTACTAGTACCCTGGTTGCGAGTGTCAATAGTGCAACAACCACCTACGCCCCGTGGATTCACCTGTACGTATCGTCAGACAGAACTTTCGGCGACGATATAACGGTGTTCGCCCGATACTCGCTCTCAGAGAATTTGCCAGGAAGGATCCACTCCTTGGAATTGTGGCCGTCCGAGTTGTCTTCGTCTGACATTTGGGCCGCGGCTTCGGGACAGGCGACATCAGTAACGCCCACGCGTTCCTATACCGCGGCGGACTTAAGGTTGTACAGATCGGGGACCGCGTCCCTCGTCGCCAATGAGGTCGGCACTGCGCAGTGCCCGCCGAGTCCGACGCCAGCCCCGACGTCGCATCCCACGCCTAACCCGACGCATAGCCCGACGGCACACCCGACGCCGAACCCGACGCGTAGTCCGACCGCACACCCGACGCCAAACCCGACGCGTGGTCCGACGGCACACCCGACGCCAAACCCGACGCGTAGTCCGACGGCACACCCGACGCCAAACCCGACGCCGTTTCCGACGCCAAGCCCCACGGCAAGCCCAACGCCGTCTCCGACGCAGTATCCAACGCCAATCCCGACGCCAAACCCGACGCCGAGCCCGACGGCAGCCCCGACGCCATCTCCGACGACAAGCCCGACGGCAAGCCCGACGCCATCTCCGACGCAGTATCCAACGCCGAGCCCGACGGCAAGCCCGACGGCAAGTCCGACGCGGACCCCGACGTCTGCGCCCACCTACCCTCCCCTTGGGGACGTGCATGCATCAGGTACTTGTAGCTGCTCCAGCCCCCCCTGCGGATGTAATTGTTGGGATTGCACAGAAGAGCGTCAAGCTGCTGGATGTTGCAGCTGCAAGGATGGGGGGAGTTGTGGTTATGGCGATACGATGACTTTGTGCGACGGCTGCATGGGTTGTTGGTATAAGGGCAAATGTGGTTGCAGTACAGATTCGGTGACTTGGCCCTTCTATGATGTGTTCGGTCTCACGTGTTCGAGTGATGCAGGCAGCTACCTGTCCTACCATGCAGTGCCACCGACCTCAAGCCCGACGCCGAGCCCGACGCCAAGCCCGACACCGTTGCCACCCGGCGTCACGTTGTCTCCGACCCCAAGCCCGACGCCAAGCCCGACGCCAAGCCCTACGCCAAGCCCGACGCTATCCGAAACTCAGAAAACTTGCGGCTGCTCGAACCCACCCTGTGGTTGCAATTGTTGGGATTGCACAGCAGCGCGCAAAGCTGCTGGATGCTGCAGCTGCGACGATGGCTGTGGCTATTTCGATCTTGCAAATTCTTCATGTGACGGCTGCAATGGTTGCTGGCACGGCGGCCTGTGTGGTTGCAGTACAGATTCCTCGACTTGGCTTTACTATCGGGCATTCGGTCTCTCGTGCTCGAATGCAACGGGCAGCTACCTGTCCAATCACGCAAAGATTGCTGGCGAGTACTCCGCGGAGGAATCTCTTCCAGACGGCGTGACTGCGGAGGACCTCATGAGTTCCACGACCTACGTGTCCGCGAAGAAGACTGGTCTGGCTAATGCTCTGAATGTGCCCGTTTCCGACGTTGAGATCACGGGCTTCGCCATCTCGACCCATCCCGATCGGTTCCCCGCTGCTGTCCGCCAGCTCTCGCGGGACTCGCACGTTACTGTGACCACGAGCTTCACGGTGGAGATCGTCGGCAGCAAGAGCGCCGCGTCCCTCACCGCCGCGATCGCTGCAATGTCTGCCACCATTGAGGCCGAGACGAACGAAGCTATGGCTGCGTCTGACTGGAGTACTGAACCGGTCATCACTGTGGCTCCTACGCTGACGGCTCCTTCCGTGGGCGCAGCGGGTTCGACTGCGGGCGTCACCTTGGCTCCCACGCCAGTTCCCGTCATCATTGGGGCCAGCATGGGCGCCGTGGCGGGCACCGGCGACCCGCATCTGCAAAATATTTTTGGCGAGCGTTTCGACCTCATGCTGGCCGGCAGGCACCTCTTGGTCCAGATCCCTAGGGGCGCGCGCACCGAGGTCTCCCTACTGCGCGTGGAGGCGGAGGCGCAGAGGCTCGGCGAGTTGTGCACGGACATGTACTTCCAGGAGGTGAACTTGACGGGAAAGTGGGCGGACGAGAAGCAGGCTGGCGGTCTCCGGTACCGCGCATCAGAGGCCGTCACGGAGGATCCCAAGTGGGTGCAGTTTGGGAGGGTGGACCTCAAAGTCGCGCACGGACGTACGTTGGCGGGGATCCGCTACCTCAACGTCTACGCGAAGCACTTGAACCAAGCCGGGTTCTCTGTCGGAGGCTTGTTGGGCGCGGACGACCACAGCAAGGAAGCGACCACTCCTGAGGGCTGCAGGCATCGTCGAATGAGCCTTTGGCAAACAAAGGACGACCCGAGCACTGCCGCCGTCTCTACAATGGAGCCTAGCTGGGCCAGCCTGGCGTAGGGTGCGTTCCCGGTCCCTTCTGATCCACCTCCTGGGCGGGACAACCTCCCCCACTGGCCTGGTGCGGAGGCGCACGGCCAGCCTCGATGCATAGATATGGCTTGGCGGGCAACTGCGCATCGATGCATAGATATTTCGATGCCTGCCTCCCTCTCCGCGTCCCCGTCCTCTTCCTCGCTTCCCTCTCTTCCTCTTCCTTCTCCCTCCTCGTCTCATTCCTCTCTCCTCCTCTTCTCACTCCCCTTCCTCGCTCCCCCCTTTTGTACCTCCCCACGCCCTTTACTTATTATTGTCTCCTGCGCTGATCACCCTTTATGAGCTGAGTGGCGCCTCCTCGTGCTGAAACGCACGTTGGCACTCGAGGTAATCAACTCACGGTCGTTGTATTCATCGCAATCGCCATTACCATCGCCCATCAACACGACCACCCTTATCACCCTCAGCGTATCCATCTTCATCATCATCATCATCATCATCATCATCAGCAGCATCATCATCAGCATCATCATCATCATCATCATCATCAGCATCATCATCATCATCATCATCATCATCATCATCATCATCATCATCGCATCATCATCAGCATCATCAGCATCAACATCATCATTATCATCATCGTCATCATCATCGTCATCATCAGCAGCAGCATCAGCATTGCCGTCACCTACTTCACAATACCGTCATCATCACCAACAGTCTCATCACGGCATCTTCCGAATCCCCGTCCTCTCTATTGTTGTTGCCCGTTCCTCCTTGTCAAGACGCGTTATTGCTCGCGGTGGTGATCATGGATATGACAAATATCGATGATGATGGCGGTGACGGTGTTTGTTATTATTGTAACGATGCCGACGCTGGTGGTCATGATGGCAGTGCTGCTGCTGGTGCAGGATGACGCTCATGATGCTGACCAGTATGACAGTGATGGTGTGATGGTGATGATGATGAGACTGCTGATGATGAAAATGATGATGACGATGATGATGATGATGATGATGGTGATGATGATGATGATGATGATCGTGATGCTTGTGATGATGATGCTGATGATGGTGATGGTGATGGTATTCGTGATGATGGTGCTGGAGATGCTGATAAGGATGACGACGACCACGACGACGATGAGGAGCTGTCTCTCGGCGTGTCGCGCCGCCGGGGCTGGCCCGCCACGCTTCGGCGCGGCACGCTGACCAGGTCCCCGCCCCCGAGCGTCGACATCCAGAGCTCTTCCCTTGCCTCGAGGGAGGAGGAGGGAGGAGGAGGGGGAGGAGGGAGGACAGAGGAGGGAGGACGGAGGAGGGAGGACTCGAAGGAAGGATGTAGATTTAAGGAGGAGGGAGTTGAGGTCAGGAGGGAGAGGAGGAGGGGAAGGAGGAGATGAGTGAGTGGGAGAAGGAGGAGGAGTCGAGAGCGCCCTCCTCCTCAGGACTACCAGAAGGGGGACGTGGGCGTGCACACATCATTGGGGTGGCGTCAAGGGGTGCTCAAAGAGGGGGTTCAGGGGAGTTGCATCAAGGGGGCGGTTTCAGTGCGAGACGCACTTCGCGCAGAGTGGCGCACCCTGGCGCCCCCGATCCCGGGGTGTAGCAGCCCCCTTGGCCCTACCCACACTTCCATCCCCCTCGGATCAGAATGACACCTGTCAGCTCGCGGGCATGGTGTGGTGCGCTGATGGCCCGCCGCGACAACGCCAGTGAAGATTCTCGACCGACGTGGGGGTGGAGGGCGATTCCGGCTCAAACTCCCTGTGAAGGGGCGAACCTGATCTGATCCCTCGAGCCTCCATCCGCAATCCCGCAAAGCTCCCTCCCAGGACTGTCGCCCTCTGAGCGTCCTCCTCTGCAGTCTCCCGTTCTTCCTCCGGGGGCCCCTTATTGTACCCTTCTGCCGTGCCGCCTGGGCGGTCTTTTGGGGCTCTTCGGGGCCATCTTTTCGTGGTGGGCGACCCTCAACTTTGTGATGATTGGTCGCAATGACTATCCAAATTCTCGAAAGTTGCATGCAAATAGTTACTAGTCTCATGGCCGCTGGAAGCTAGGAGCTCTGTGAAACAGGGCGTGCACTCATTGTCGACAAGGTGGGGGTGCCTCCAGTGCGTCCCAAGGTAGCTCACAGGCGACACTTCACAGGCAAATCACCTTGGACGATATGCTAGCTGGACCACCACCCAACCACAAAGGAAGTCCTCCTCTTCGACCTCCTGGGCACGCCAGGGGGCGCCGGACCCACCCTTTTTCTCAAGTCCGTCACTCTTTGGGTCGGCTGTACGTACGAGTGACCTTTCGCCGGAGTGACCTTTGGTGCGGGCACAGTGGGGTCCCAAGATCGCCGAAAAAGCGATACGGCAGCAGCGGCTTGCGCGCTGGAGTTTGGCCCCGCCCCCCGCGCCCCCCAAAAGCCGCGCACCAGAGGTCACTCCTGCCTCGGGCCGACCTCACGTGCCGCCGACTGGGGGCCCAGGAGAGGGGGGCTTCACGGCGCAGAGCCTCGATCGCCCGGGGGCCGCGCCTGGGCACGGAGCCCGCGAGCGGCCCGAGGCGCCCAGACGTCCGACGCTGTGAGCGTTGCTGCTGCAGCGGGCCCCTCCATATGGAGGTCGGGGCCTCGTTCCCGAGGGCGCCCTCGAGGGCGCGAAGTTATATTCGCGCCTTGCGGTTCGGCTCCGATTCCTCCTCATCCTCCTCTTCTCCCCTGGGAGGCGGCGCGAGAGCGCGAAGTCATTCGCGCTTCGCGCAGCGCGAAGCGCGAAAGGTTGGGAGCCTTCTTCCCGGGCACCGTGCTCTTCACGTTGGCCGTGCTCGACGCCCCAGCGTCCGCTCGGGGGTTGCCGGAAGCGCCCCTGCCCAAGGTGCCCCAGTGGGCCTCGTGGGGTGCTCCAGAGGCCTGAGGGGGCCTCCTGGCAGATATTAGAGCACCTTGGACCTGGGGCAGGGGAACTTCTAGCAACACGGGCTGGTGAGGCATGTGGGCCGAAGGGAGAGGAGTACCAGCCGCCCTTGGCCTTCTAGTCACGCGAGATGTCTGGGTACAGCCCGCGAGGAGCGGTGGGGCAGGAAAGCAGGCAGCCAGAGCAGAAAGCAGAAGAAGCACGGGGGAACAAGGCGGGCGGCTTGACACGCGCGCGGGCCCCGGCAAGCGCGGTGCGGGCGGTCCCCTTCCGGCCTGCTGCGCCCACTTTCTGCGGGGCATTTCCCCGTACTTGCATGCCGAACGTTCGGCACCTCGTGCGCGCGGTGTCGCAGAATGGGCGCGCCACCTCGAAGACGACACAGAAACATGCTAGCCAGCGTGGACACCAAACAGTGTGCTTCTAGAAATCTGCGTGGTGCAATGTATGTTGTGCAACCTATGTGGTGCAATACGTGTTGTGAAGTATCGATGTGATGTAACGTAGATGTGGTTCAACACATGCTGCGCAATATATGTTGCACAATCAATGTGATGAAACCTATGTGGCGCAGCCTATGTTGTGCAATACATGTGGTGCAACCTATGGGGACGATATACGTGGAACCACCTGTGGTATGCAGTATGTGTTGTGCAATCGATGGTGTGCAAAATATGTGGCGCAACATATCGCAATAGATGTTGGGCAATGAATGTGGAGAAATATGTGTGGCGCAATCTATGTGATTCGATTTATAGTGTGCACTATCTGTTGTGCAATGTGCGTTGTGCAACCTATAGTGTGCGACCGATGCTATACAATATATGTGGTGCAACGTATGGTGTGCAGTCTATGTGGAGCAAACTATGTGGTGCATTTTTTGGTGTGCGATCGATGTGGTGCAAACTAGACTGCAACGTACGCTTTGCACTTTACGTGGTACAATGTAGTGGTGCAAGTCACATTGTGCAAAAAAGCTGGTGCAATATGACTACGTTGTGCAATAAATGCTGTGCAGCCTATGTGGTGAAACTCATGTTGAATAACTTGGAGTTGACTGCTCCTCCATTGCTAGTGCAGTCATCCAACCCACCCACGCTCAACTTAGTGTGCAAGTACAAAGCGGCGGCGATTGCGATGGCTGCTTGAAGCTGGCTGGCGCATTGTTGTGGCCGCGCTAGCGCGCGCAGGCTCACGCTCAGAGTGGCCAGCGAGTTTGGCGCGACCGACGCGACCGCAGTGGCGCTGACCATTGGGGACTTCCCAGCGCGTCTCGCAGGCAGCGCTGACACTCGGGCACTTCAGTGCGAGTCGGTGGCTCGGGCGGGCGCGGTACGATGGCGACGTCAGAATTGGCAGATACGGTGATGATAGTATCGATGATGGTGACAATGATGTTGATGAAAACGGCAAGGCCAATCACGGCGCCGATGCTGGTCACGCCGATGACGTTGATGGTGTCCACGCGGCGGCGATAAAGGTTTTGGACGGAGTTCGACATGCGCGCGGCCGACGCAGTCGAGTGGCCCGCATAGTGTTATTTGGCAGGGATCGCGCTCTTCCCCCCGGCAAGCGCGCAAAGGCGTTCGAACGATTTCGGCTTGCGCACGCGAGAGGCCCGCATCGAAAAAACATGTTTCTGAAGTATTCTCAAGAACGCGCGTGCAGATGTTTTTGTGTGGAAATCCAGCTGCAAAAACACATGTTGTTTATATGTATGTGGAACCTCGATCTTGAAATCCTTACGAAGACTCTTGTTTGTTGAATAATTCCGCCATGCGCACTCGCGACGCCGTGCGCGTATACCGGGCCCCTTGGGATGGTACGAATTCATATTGTGAAGGCCTTGCGGCCGGTACCGCCGACCTTGAAGCGGGAGCCCGAGGTGTGTGGGAGGCACGGAATCGAAGGGGGAAACCTCTCCCAGGGAAGGTTGTTCCCCCACGGGGGCGACGGGTCACAACCCCAGGGAACACCCCAGGGACACCACCAGGGACACCGCCCCAGGACCCCTCGGGGACCCCCCCCCCCGAGGAGCCCCCCCCTGGGCGTGGAAGGGATCGAAAGGAACAGGTTTCCCTCCGACGCGATGGCGATTTGCTCGACTTCTCTTTGGCAGGAACGTTAGACGAGGAGGGCCCCCGGACAAAGACAGGGGAGAGCGATGACGACGACAACGACGACGACGACGAGGACGAGTCAGTCGGAAAAATTTGTCACACATGCCGACAAGGCCGGCGGGTTTAACATGAGCGATGGGGCAGAGTCATATGTAAATTGCACTATCCCAGGAGGTGTCAATAGACCTGGGGGGGTGATCCAAATTTCCCAAACGGTCCTTGCATTGAGAGGCTTTCACTTGTGTTCGAAGGAACCGGGCCGTGTGGGCGGTCTGGCGACTATGTTCCGGCCGTCGTCTTTCCGTCGCCGCCCTGTCACTGTCCGTCGTGTGGGCCGTGTGGGCGGCGTGGCGGCTATGTTCCCGCCGTCGCCGCCCCGTCACCTCCCCGTCGCCGCCTCGTCGCCGCCCGTCGCCGCCTTTGGATTGGACCACGTAGCACGAAAAATAGTCGCGCCTGCGGCGCGCTTTCTGGTCGCTCACAGCATCCACTGTACAACATATAGTGCACAACATAAACTGCACCCGAAATAATGCATTACATCTACAACAGAACCACCTATATTCTCTTATATAACCGAGTAATCGGATCGACCCTTCCCCCCGGAACTAATGGTGCCCTTTGTCGTATTGCAGTACGCGAGCGATGTTGCCCCATCCCTCATCCGAGATATGAATCCATACCATCCCAAGCAGGCCAGTATCGGTACCTCCGCTCACCCTCGGCAACAAATATTATGCGCGCTCGCGTTTATCAGAAATCATCAGTTTTCAAGAACCTCTTCCAAAAACATATGACGAAGTGCAAACGCGCGCGCCGTCGCGCGCGCATGCCGAATCATTCAAAAACTCGGGGTCCCGCAAGGATTTCAAGATCGAGTGCCCTGGAAACATAAAACACATGGTGTCGCAACACGAGTTTTCTATACTTAACAATGCGCTCGGGTTTTTTGCGAATACTCCTGGGAACAATAGGTTGCTCCATATTTCCATGGGGTGGTACCAAACGGGCCTCTCGCGCGCGCATGTCGAAATCGTTCGAACGCCCCTGCGTGCTTGCTGTCGCAAGAATCCCTAGCACAAGAACATGACAAACTTTACATGCGCGGTCGTACCACCCCAGCGCGCGCGCAAGAGCGCATGAATGAGTTCGACATACGGCGCGAGAGGCCCGTGTGGCAGAAGTTGATGTAAATTTAGGAAAACCGATTGTTGTGTTGAGAATCTGCTTGAACTCGAGCGCAGGCATTTTTGAAAACTGATGTAGCGAAGCCGCGTGTGTCTATATGTTTCTGCGGCACTCGATTTTGAAATCTCTGAGAAAACAAAGGTTGTTCAAGGATTTCGGCTCGCGCGCGCGACGACGCGCGCGCGTGCAATCCGTCTGTACTTCTGCAAGGGATTATTGCGACAGCGCGCGCGCAGGGGCGTTCGAACGATTTCGACACGCGCGCCCGAGCGGCCAATTTGGCTGCATTCTATGAAAACGTTGGACAACCCATGGTTTTCTCAAGAATTCGCAAGAGCGCGGGCGCGAGTTTATTTTGAACATTCCGGTTGCTAAACCGCGTGCGTTTTTTTCATGTTTTCGTGACACTCGATTTTGAAAAACCTGACGAAACCGAAGGTTGTCATGCATTCCGGCATGCGCGCGCGACGACCCGCGCGCGCACTTCGTCACATCTGTTGCAAGGGATGTTCGCAAAGTGCTGATTCTTTTGTTGCAAAGGATGGCGGGGTGTGCCGATACAGGTTGGGCTGGAATGGTACGAGTTCATATTTCAGATAGACGACGGGACATAATTTTCAGAACCGCACGCAAATTGCAATACGAAGAGGTTGATCGTTAATTCCGGGGGGGAGGAGGGGAGGGGAGGGGCGGGGGGGGAACGGGGGGAGGAGATTATTTGTTTATTTTTGAAAAGGAGAGTTCGTTCGTTTGCAAACAAAGCCAAACAACGCCAAGCAATGCCAAGCAGTGCCAAGCAGCGCCGGGCAATACAAAGTAATGCCAAGCAATACCCAGCAAAACCAATCACTGCCGAGCAAAGCCAAGCACTGCCAAGCAAAGCAAAACAACGCTAAGCAAAACCGAACAGCGCCAAGCAACGATTCCAAGCAATGCCAAGCAATTCCAACCAACGCCACGCAGCGCCAAGCAACGCCACGCAATGCCAAGCAATGACACGCAAAGCCAAGCAATGACATGCCAAACAACGCTACACAACGCCTAACATTGAAAAGACAATGTCAAGCACTACCAAGCAATGCTTTGCATTGCATTGCATTGCGTTGCTCCGAACTTCCTGGGATTGCGATGAAAGAAGACCCTGTATTGGTGTCGCGCTGGGCGAAAGTAACTGCAGTATATGAAGTTACAGGGAGATGTTACGCGAAACGCCCAGCCCAGCACACTGACACGTCTGGTGGTGTGACCCGAGGGAGTTATCACAGAGGAGGAGGAGGAG